TCTAAAATATATATTTTCTTCAAATATTAAAACATAAAATTTGAATAACTGAGTTAAAGTAGCATTGGATCTAAAAATAATTTTAATCTGTGAATTAAAGAGAAAAATTAAAATTTGGACCTAAAGTTTCATGCAACTTTTTGAAATGGACCATCTTTGTTCATAACCTACCTGGAAGAAAATTTTCAAATCCATACTGCTCACCTTTCTATCAATCCTTGTCCCACTCGAAACCCCATGTTTTCCAGCTTGGTAATACATCGTCCATTTTCCTATTTAAAAAAATAATAGTTTTGAATACTTTTAGAATGCTGAGATGTTAGTATTCAAAACTAGTTTTAAAATACTAGCTAAACATTTTAATGTAAATATTTATACTTATTTCACTGAAACATTTTAAGATAAAGTGAATTCTAAGATATCCTTGCATTTTCTTAGCATTAATCATTTTCATAGGGCAATAAGATAAACTATTGTTTATTATTATTTTTTGGAAATACCATCTTCCTAATTACTCTCCCTTCCGCCTTTTTCCCTATTTTCAATCATTCTTTTCTCCTAGGTTATAAAACCTGGTATCACCTTTGACTTATTTCTCCTCGTTCATTCCCTTTGTGCTGTCACTAAGTTCTATTGTTCCTTGCTTCAAAATGTATCTTAAGAGTCATCCAGGTTTCCCAGTTCTCAGTGTGTTGTAGTTGATGACCATCCTATGCCTTTGCGATTGCGTTGCTCTTCCTTTGACAATCTCATCTATTAATAATCTTTTTTTTTTGAGACAGGGTCTCCTCTGTCCCCCAGGGTAGAGTACAGTAGCACTATCATAGCTCACTGCAACCTCAAATTCCTGGGCGTAGTGATCCTCCTGGCTCAGCTTTCCAAGTAGCTAGGACTACAACATGCACCACCACACTCACCTAATTTTTTTAATTCTTTGTAGAGACAGGGTCTTACTATGTTGCCCAGGCTGGTCTCAAACTTTTGGCCTCACATGATTCTCCCGCTTCAGCATCCCAAAGTGCTAGGGTTACAAGCATGAGCCATGGAGGAGTCCAGCCTAATCTTAAAGCTTTAAATACTACCTCTATGTTGAACACTTCCAAATCCTATAGATGATCGACCTATGGATTGCCCTATACAATCCAGACCCATACCTCTCCAGCCTCAACCTTCTACTCTCTTAAGACTCACTCTGTTCCAGCTGCACTGATCTCTTTTGCCCCTTAAACATGCCGTGTATGCTCCAATCTTGTGGTTTTTGCATCAGCAGCTCTTCCCCCAGATATTCACATGACCAACTCCCTTATTTCCTTCAAGTCTGTTCTCATGTCACCATTTCAATAAGGCCCACTTTACCAACTTCTTTAAAATTGCATCATCCCCTTTAGCAACTCTCTATCCTAATAATTCTAAAAGTGTGTCCCCAGACCAGCAAAATCAGCATCATATGGAAACTTGCTAAAAAGGCAAATTCTTTAGTCCCACTCACAATTTACTCATTAGAAATTCTGGGTGTGGAGCCAGTAATCTGTTTCAACAAGACTTCTAAAAGTGATTGATGTTCTATCCCACTTCCCTGCTTACTTTGTCTCCATAGAACTTCTTTCACTGTTAAACATACTATACATTTTACTATTTTATATTGCCCACATCCCCTTTTCTCCAATCTCTGCTAGGATACAGCTCCATGAAGGCTGGGATTTCTGTATATTCTGAAGTCTGTCTGTCTCCCATTAAGAAGTAAACCAACCATAGGCATCATTATTTGCTGAATTTTCTTTGGGGAACCAGGCACTCCACTTATGCTTCTGTGACTACTAATACTAGTACAGACTTTAACTTCATTGGACATAGCCATCTAGAGGTCCCACAGAACCCTCAAACTAGGCATATTCAAAATAATATTCATTATCTTAACGTCCTCAGCCTGCTCTGCCTCCAAAATTCCCTAACTTCATCAATGGTACTACCATCACGGCACTAGTTACCCCAGCCAAAAAAGTTCCATTTTCTTCACCCCTTTGCCCCCAACCCCTCCACACACACTGTAGTCCTGTGAATCCTATCTTTTACATGCTTTTCAAAACCTATATTCTCAGCCGGGCGCGGTGGCTCACGCCTGTAATCCTAGCTCTCTGGGAGGCTGAGGTGGGCGGATTGTTTGAGCTCAGGAGTTCGAAACCAGCCTGACCAAGAGCGAGACCCTGTCTCTACTACAAATAGAAAGAAATTATTAATCGGACAACTAAAAATACATAGAAAAAATTAGCCGGGCATGGTGGCGCATGCCTGTAGTCCCAGCTACTCAGGAGGCTGAGGCAGAAGGATCGCTTGAGCCCAGGAGTTTGAGGTTGCTGTGAGCTAGGATGACGCCACGGCACTCTAGCCCGGGCAACACAGTAAGATTCTGTCTCAGAAAAAAAAAAACAAAACCTATATTCTCTCTCTATCCCTACTGCTTATGTTAAGCCTTATCATTTCTCTCCTGGCTTTCAGTTACAGCCTTCCAAGTAGTCTTGTCTTGGGTTTTTCCTTTGAGTCATTATATTTTACTGGTAACAGAATTTCTAAAAAAAGAAATCATATTTCTTTACTGGATATTTCAGTGCCCACTCCCCTTTCCTGAAAATAAAGTCCAAACTCCTCAGATGGCATGTTATGTCCTTTCCTTAAGGATATAGCCTTTCCTTAAATGACCCCTGGCTAGTTAACCAGATTCACTAACATCCACGTATCCACAAGAATCCTTCCCTCTACCACTCTGAAATTTCTGCAGCAACTCCAGAGTGCTATGTTCTCTTCTGCCTCCATGGCTTTGCACATGCTCTTCCCTAGACTTCACATCCTTTAAATTCAGCTCAAATCTCGTTATCAAACATGCTTGGCTGGAATGAGTACCTGTAAGTTTCGATGCTCTTTGTGAAACAATTTGCTCTCTGTAGACTCACCCAGAAACATATTTATTAGCAGGAAATATGCTTATACATAGATACTCTCAAATCCTTTGATCACATGAGCTTTTGAATTAAGCCACACTAAGTATCTTTTGATCTTGCTACTTGTTAATTTACTTTGGCCCCTGTGAGTACTCAGTACTAGGCACCAGATTTTTTTTTTTTTTGAGACAGAGTCTCACTTTGTTGCCCTGGCTAGAGTGAGTGCCATGGCATCAGCCTAGCTCACAGCAACCTCAGACTCCTGGGCTCAAGCGATCCTCCTTAGGCACCAGATTTTTAAGAAAAATTAAACTTGAGAACATTTTATTCATTAACCTTTTTAAAATCCATTCTCCATAAATTGAGAAATGCCCAATTAGTCAATTTTTAGAGATTTAATTCCTATTCAAGCATAGTTTGAAATCATTTGGAGAATGAGAACATTGGTTCTTTTATTTCACTTCAAAAGTTATAAATAAAAGTTTATTCCAGAAAGTTATTGAGAGTTAATAAAATTTTATTTTGCTTAAAAAAATTTTCATCATAGGGCCAGGCACGGTGGCTCATGCCTATAATCCCAGCACTTGAGAGGCCAAAGTGGGAGGATCACTTGAGGCCAAGAGTTTGAGACCAGCCTGAGCAACACAGCAAGACTCTGTCTCTACAAAAAAAATTAAAAAATTAATTAGCTGGGCATGGTGGCACGTGCCTGTAGTCCCAGCTTGGGAGGCTGAGGCAAGAGGATCACTTGCGCCCAAGAGTTTGAGGTTGCAGTTAGCTATGATGAGCTAGAGAGCCACTGCAAGATGACCCAGAGCAAGACTCTGTCACCAAAAAAAAAAATTTCAGACATGAGTAGAACAGCTGTTGGTTTTAGGTTTTATTTTGGGTTAATCTATTGTGAAAAAGAGATTTAAAAGATTTTCCAGGTCAAGAGTTGGGAGAGAAAAAGAAAGACGGGAGAGGAAAATAAAGAGAACTGAATGTACATGTGGTGGTTGGGCAAGTGTGGATTTTATGATAAAAAAGTAAAAGGGGTGTGTTGTTAATTGTTCATTGGGGGAAAGGGAAGACCAATTTTGCATAAACAGAAAACACTGTTGATGATGATGATAATGATGATGAAGTCAATGTAACTTGAAAAAAATCTCTGTTGTAGACGGGTCTGAATAAGAATTTGTTTCATTTCCAATATTCTTCCTGATGTGTCTTCCTAATGAAATCTTCCAATGTATTGTGGCCATCCTTCTTGTAGTTTACAAACTGGCGGCATCTTTTCTTAGATGTCCTACAGGTACTTCAAAAGTTCAACCTGCCTCAAAATAATTCATTATCTGCATCTCCTTATCTCTTTCTTCTCCTTCATTCCCTTTCTCGATTAATGGCAGCACCATCCAACTCAGCTGCTCAAGCTAAAAACCTGGGGATAATTTTCAACTGCCATTCTCATTCTTAACCAAGGCCTATAAAGTCCACCTCTACCTCTCAATATGCTCTCTCCTCTTCTCACTATCCCTGTCTTAGTTCAGATCTTCATCATCTCCTAAAAAGACTCTTGCAATAATGGATCTTCTCACTACAAGGATCTTCCCTCTCTAGCCCAAACACTGGATTGTCTTTATAAAATGCAAAAGGGCCACATCATTCCCTTCCTAAAAACTCCTCCCTTCAAAAGACTGAAATTCTTTAACACACTGACTGCCACACTAGAAAAAAAAATTTGTCCTTGGGGCCACAGTGCTTTATTACAAAAACAGAATAAAAACTTTGAAAACAAAATGATCCTTTCTACTTTAATGAAAAATCTGTTATTGACTTCTATTCACTTAATTCATGTTTTTAGAATTAAATTGTCAATATTAATTGTAACAATAAGAACATCAACAACTAAGATTTTCACGAACCAACTGCAGGGTTTTGCTTCCTAAGGCCCCGGGCTCAAAACTAGCCTGAGTTAAATACAACTCACATGGCAGTTATTGTGATAATCATACAAGCAAGGCTCTTTCTAATTTCAGCTCTCAATTCTCTCTCTCCACGCATTCAATCTAGTCACAATGAAATAATTAAGCATATTTAAATCCATCGCTTTCATACCACTATGCCTTTCCCACCCCCCACTCTCCACCCCTCTTTATCAATAGCATTACAGAAAGGGCTCTTGACTTGAGCATGACTTTGGAATATCTAATTTCTAGAATCCGTTTCTACTCCATGATTCTATACCTAATTACCAACCAATGCTTAATTTTTAACTATTCTTTAAATCCCCATTTACCTAGTACAGTGTCAGGCCCACGATACAAGCTTAATAAATGTTTTCTTAAAGAATCAATGAGTGAATGAGGACTCCCACATATGAAAAGTAATCTCCAAGAGGATGGGGCCATTGTTTCATTCAGTACTACATCCCCAGCACCTATAACTAGCTCCGACATAATGGGCACTAAATATTTTCTCAGTTGTGTTTCCTAATTATCCTAACGTCTGCAAACTTTGCTTTGACCTCAAACCTCATTAGGCTTAGGTCCTCGAGTTGTGCAGAGTTGTACTGGGGATTAGGGTTGGGGAAGGAGGGACAGGATTCTCAGGCTGGGACAGGTCTGTGCAGTGGACGGCTTGGAAGTGCTGGAGGTGCCAGCAAAATTAAGTAGGAGCCAAAATCCGCTCTGCAGTTAACTCTGCCATGAATCATGGTAGGGACAACACTAAAAGTAAGAAAATCTGAGGTGTGTAGGACAAAGGTATGGGAACGGACAAAAAGAATCAAATAGAAGATACGAAAGAGGAAAGGATGAAAGATGAAGTATCAAAGGAGTCAGCCGAGAGGTTCTTGGGTTTAGGATACCTGCAAGTGGACCAGTTTGTCTACACCTCGGGAGGCGCTGGGCGGCGATGGGACAGGAGTTGAAGGAAAGAACTGAAGGGAAACAAGGAGTGTCACCGCAAAAGAACCAAGGGCAGCACTCACCACCTCCCCCTGCTCCGCCGACTTGTACACTCCAGACACCATCTCGTTATGGAGAAGCAAAAACAACGCCTCGTCCGCCATTTCCTGCTTATTCTTCCAACCTCTGTGTTTCGGCAACCGTTTGGGCTAGGCCTGGGGGTTCTGGCTCCCGCCGGGGCGACTTGGCTCGCGCCGCGGCTGCCGGAAGCCGCGGCCCAGTCTCTCGTTGCTAGGAGACAGAGGAATTCACACGGCTTCCCAAATGCAGGTACTGGAATGAGTCCGGTAACGGCGAGAGCCCACCCCAAGGGCCACCAAGCCCTAAGGCCGAACGAAAGAGTCTGACAGCCGCACTAACCAAACTCAGCCCGGGAGCTGGCCCTGGGCCGGGGGCGAAGAAACAACTTCCGGTCCCCTCTACCCCGGCATTCCGCCAACTCTATGATCCCTGAGTTCATCTCTCAGGTCAGGGGTGAACTAACTGCCCTCGCCCAGATATGAGGAAGGTTCCTCCTCCGTGCCATCGGGGGCACGGGTGTGGAGGGTAAAATAAGACATAAGGATTTCCCGCTGCCATCTCCGTGTCAATTAGCTGTAAAAGTTAGAAAAATTGACAAGAGTTTCTGTTGGCTTCATCTAAAGCCTCCATTTCCTGCATATGTTCTTCACTATGAAAAGTTGTAGAAAGACTGAATAAATCACTTTTCAGACCGTAAATTTTTGATATGTTGAGAAGTTATCCCAATCCATATTGTATTAAACCCGGGTATGCAAAAAGATTTAGAGCCATTTTGGCTACCAAGAAGTTAACTGGCAGTGGGGTGCAAGGGACAAGGGGGCGGAGTAAGCAAAAAACTTCAAGGTATATGTGAACCACAAAATACAAACTAATCAGAGGATAGGTGAATGGAAAAATGCCAAAGAATTCAGAAAAGTGACGTCACTGTGGGATGGTATTCCTAACAGTCTATGGCAGTTGTAAGACCACTCCTACAGAGGTGCAAATGCCTATGCTACACTCTGGCTTAAGCACATTGCTTAGCCTGTGGTTCTTTTCTTGATAATTTACAAAGTAGATTTTTTTTTTCCAATTAAGTTCAGTGTTTCCCCCAAATTAATATATTGGGTTATCTCAAATTGTTAACAATAACCTCTCAACTCTTATATACCCTTTGACAATAATTTAAGATCATGTTCCATAACTGTAATTATGGTAGGGTTTTTTCACATGTCCATTATAATGTTTGGATCAGTTTATTCTTTTCATCATATAAATCAAGCATAAAATTTCCACCTAAGCCTTTTTTTGGTGTCAGCCTACCTCACAGCAACCTCAAACTCCTGGGCTCAAGGGATCCTCCTCCCTCAGCCTCCTTTTTTTTTTTTTAATTTTTATTTTATTTCTTTTTATTTTTTTTTCTTTTTTTTTTTTTTTGGTTTTTAATTCCTTTTTTCTCTTTAAAAAATTCTTATGACTTTATTCGTATTCTTTTTCTTCTTTTGCTATTTTAAAGAGATACTTGAGGGAAACCTCACCCTCCTGAGTAGCTGGGACTACAGGCGCTTGCCACAAAGCCCAGCTAATTTTTTGTTTCTATCTTTAGTTGTCTGGCTAATTTTTTCTATTTTTAGTAGAGAAGGGGTCTCACTCTTGCTCCTTGCCTCAAGGAATCCTATGGCCTTGGCCTCCCAGAGTGCTAGTGTTACAGGTGTGAGCCACTGCGCCCAGCCTCACCTAAGTCTTTGAGAAAACAAGTATAATTTTGAAGAGTATTTTGCCACCATAATCTTAATTTTTCCAGCACTAAAATTTCCTATATATGAAATCACGCCCTTTATGTCTAAATCACATTCTCACCCTCATTGTCACCATTAAGGAACAGGAGTCTGAGCCCACCACTGATGTAAAAAAGTAAGCAATTGACCAATTTACCAAGGCCGATTTCTCAAACCACAATAACACGGGTTTTTTTTAGTCTTGTGGAGGGCAGAAAGGAAACTAATATATATTAAGGACCTACTAAATATTGAACACAGAATTCCACTGATCCACCTCCCTAAAGCAGACTGTTAAATTGCCCAGGATCCTAACAATAGATCCCAGGGAAGGAGGAATAGATCCTATTTTTTTGGTTAACTCTAACGGCATTTTCACATGGAAACGTTGTTTCAATGGTGGACAGGCTCTACCATCACCATACTTTCATGCCTCAGGCTCTACTTCCTGAGGTTGTACAGTGTAGTAACAAGGCCAATGAGACTAAGTATGGTCATAATCAGAATTGTCCATCCTCAGCCTTATTACTCATCTCTACTTTTTCTTTTTTTTCTTTGTTTATTTTTTTCTTTCCTGAGAGAAGGCAGCACCAACTTTTTTTTTTTTAAAAAGTCTCAAAAAAAATTAAAAATGTCTTTTTAAAAAAATTATTGATTTGAGACTGGGATGGGTGTGTGGGGGGAGGGGTTTCACTATATCTCCCAGGCTGGTCTCCAGCTCCTGGGCTGAAGGGATCCTCCAGCCTCAGCCTCCTCAGTAACTGGGACTTCAGGCAGGAACCACCAGGCCCAACTATTTTTTTTTTTATAGCACTTCTCATTTTCTAATATGCTATGTAATTTATGTTTACGGTCTGTCTCCATAATTCCTCCTCCCAAGCTTCTTCAGAGATCTTTACTGTACGCTGATATACCCAAGTTTCTAGAACAGTACCTGGCTCATAGTAGTTGCTCAATAAATATTTGTTGAATTAATAAATTATCTTTGCTCCTTCAGGAACCTCTAAACTACAAAAGCAGGAACCACAGCTACCTTATTCTAGGGTTTATCTTCAGCAATACCATAGAAGCTTTATAAGGTGGTTGGATGAATTAAAGTGGTAGCTTGAGTTTAACAGTACGCCCACCATCGATCTTTGCAAGGAGGATGTCTGGCTGAGGCTATTCATATTGTTTCCGTGGGGAAATGTTTTCTGAGCTACAATTTGTATATGTATTACTGGAACAAGACCAGTTCCCGCGTTGGCAGTGTAGGTAGAGCAGAGCCAGAAGCTGGACAACACACACTCCCATTAACAATAGGGATGCTCCCCTAGAGTCACTTAACCACTCTATGCCAGGTGAAGAGGCTAAATCAGCCATGCCTACCCTGTCTTATCATTGCTTTTTTCTAGTACAGCCTTGCACAGGGTCTGAATCAGAGGCTGATTCTCAGTTGGCGAGACGAGGGACAGTTACATTATCGGCAATCTCAATTTTCTTACCAGTAAAAAGAGGCATTTTATCCAAGCTCTATTTTGTGAGGAATAAGGCATATAAAGTGTTTCACACAGGGTCCTGGACAAGACCAACCCCTAACATTCGTTAGCTGTTATGATTAATTTTTCCTATTCTTCATTCTTCCGCTTCCTTCTGCTAACCTAACCTAATCCAGGGAAGCATGCCTCTACTCCCTCTCTGGGCATGCGCACCAAAAGAATGGCCGCGCCCTCTCTTATTTAAATCATTAACTGAGGTGAGGGGAAGAAGAAAAAGTAGACTCGCCTACGCCCTACCCTGATGTGATAAGGTGGTTAAAACGATATAAGGCACGTTACATCACAGTTCGGAAAGGCTGGAAACTCCGCGCTCTCTTTGACAGAACTGCAAGCCCGTGAGCCTACGACTCCGAGGACCCAGGGCCTCTCAACCCCGCCCCAGCTCTGCGCTACAAGCGGAGTCCAGCCACACGCGGCTAATTGGGGAGGGAGGTTTGCCCGGCTGACTTCTCATTGGCCCAGAGCCACAAAGGCCGCAGCTTCTCCCCCTTCCGGTCGCTAAGTGGTTGAGGCCGAAAAATAACGCCTATCGTCATTGGCTAAGCTCGGCTGTCAGTCCTTTCGCGTCTCGCAGCGCGACGCAGAGCGGCGCAGTCCCGCGCGGCCTGTAGAGCAGTCTCGAAGCCTGCCTCACGGAGAAGATGGCGGTCGCAGTGAGAACTTTGCAGGAGCAGCTAGAAAAGGCCAAAGAGAGCCTAAAGAACGTGGATGAGAATATTCGCAAGCTCACCGGGCGGGATCCGAATGACGTGAGGTAAGGGCCTGACGGGAACTGCAAGCTCTGAGAGGCAGCGCTCAAGTCGGGGTGAATTGGGGGTGGGGAGGACGGCCGGCCCTGAGAAGGCTAGAACATCGAGGCATGTTCCCCGGGCGGCGGTAGGACCTCTGCCTCGGTGAGGTGGTGAGGCTCCAGGCTCCCGCTGGGCTTATGTGCTTGAGGAAAGAGAGCGAGGCTTGGATGCGCCAAATGGTTTCCCGGCCTGTGAGAAGGCCCGAACTGCGGATTCCCGCCCTTGGCCCTGCAGGCCCGGAACTGCAGCACAAAGCCCCTTCCCGCTCCGGCGGCCACCCGGCCCGGGGCTGGCGCGGAGACGCTCCCGGGTCGCGATCCGTCGCCTCTCCCCCGGGCTCTTGCCCACGTGCAGCTTCCTCCGGATGGCGGGATCGGGATATGCTCCAGTCTTGTTAATGTGCAGTGGCATCAAGGCAAATGTAATTTCTGTGGTAGTGGTGTTGGAAAACGAGGAAGTTAAACGGTACTAGCTGTCCTGTTTCAGACACGTGGATTTGAAAGTGTCTTTTTAGAACTTTCCTTATTATTTTCTCTTTATGATGCCCCACATCTCTGAAAGTGTTTGGTGCCATTAGATGTGTCTGCGTGTGATTTATTTACTTATTTATTTTTTTACTGATTTGTAAATCTCTTGTAGGCCCATCCAAGCCAGATTGCTGGCCCTTTCTGGTCCTGGTGGAGGTAGAGGACGTGGTAGTTTATTGCTGAGGTAAGATTTCTTTAGGACTTAATTCATGCCAAAAAATAAGCACCATTAGTGCTTTTTATATTAAATTAACATTGCTTTGTACAAAATTAGCGGTAGACTCCATAACACAGTGTTTTTTCTCTTTGTTGAATGCTGTGATCAGCTAGTTTTCTGTAAACATACAGTTATCCTGAAAAATTAGAAGTTGAGTATATTAACTATACTAGTTTTTTATAAACTTAATTTATTTTTGTAGTTTAGAAAAATACTATAAAAGCATTTTGGAGTGAATGTCTATTTAAGGTTACTTGAATTAGAAGGATTTTAAAAATTCCCTTGCCAAATGGAAATATCATTTATCTTGTTATTTCAAGTGCTTTATGTTGAACATTTTTAATTACAGGCGTGGATTCTCAGATAGTGGAGGAGGACCCCCAGCCAAACAGAGAGACCTTGAAGGGGCAGTCAGTAGGTAGGTTAAAAAAAAAAAAAAAAAGGGATTCCTAAAGGCATCTCTATTTTCTGAGGTAGTGCAGAAATATTTGATAAATACTGTTGAATTGAGTTGTATTAGAATTGA